TCAGAGAAACCCCTTCCTTGACGATACGCGTTTCAGTGTGTCCTGAGTAATAAGAACGAAGAAAAAAGACCCCCATTTTATAGGGCACAATTTTTTACAGCTCTTCGACCTAAGCAGGCAACAGTTGCCGGCCGTTTTGAAATAGCGACGGGTTTTGTTAGGTCGTTTGGCGCGGTTTGTTTATTGCTTTATTTTTTCACTTGAATATAGGCAAATTCTCGAGTTCCAGATGTTTTATTAGGTAATAGTTAATAGAGTGCTGGAACCATAAGTTTGGTCATCCTAGCATTCGGGTTCTTATAGTTCAAACTGAACAAAACCTGAGATCACATAGTATCTGACCTCATCTGATCTGTGAGCAAAGAGAGACGCGGCAATCACCCGTAACATTACAAGCTACTAAGCACACGCTCAAGACGGGCAATTTCCTCGGCTTCGAAGCCGCAAATGTTATCGTCCGGCGGAGTGCAAAACAGGCAGTAAACGGATTCAAGCCTTAACTCCGACAAAAACTCGACCAACGGGCATATCGACCTCCCATCGGAGTACACTGCCCTGCGCGAGCGCATTTACACTTGTAAAACCGGTCATTCGTCGGTCCTATCGCCTCGCAAGTTCCCTGGTTTTTGCTGCTGTTTTCTTATATCTGACGACGGATTCTAATCAGGGCCCGAAATTTCACATAAGCAAACTCGGGATCCCCCGCGTTTGACCAGTCTGTCAGCCTATCAGAGGCTCATCCTGAAACAAAAGTGCCCATATTTTGTGGTTACTTAGGACAACAACCCTTACTGTATTTTAAAGTCACCTATTGTGCACACCTGGGATAGTTATTTATCGGAAGACACCCCCTTTTCAAATATTTTAGTCGATCTTTTCCATAGGGAACTGCGATCGCAAATTGACATTCCGTAGCCCGCATTCGAAAAGCACACCGAAAGGCAAACAAGACGGTTGGGGCTCATAACTATTACCTTGCCTGCGCCTGGTCTGGCCTTGCTACCAAACACCACCTCATCTGCCTGGTTGCTGCTGCTGCCCGCGCCACCGACGTCGTTGCTGGTGGGTCTCTTTCTTGTCACAGTCGGAATGTGCACGTTATGAAAATCGGCGCTGGTCGCCCAGTTGGTAAGCCCGGCACCAGTCATTCCACTGGCAGGGGTGATTAGGGTGTGCGGAGTGATCAACGTAGCGGGCGTCACTATACCACGCCTACCCGACGGTGGTATCGGTGGGGGCATGAGGCTGCTGGCGGGAGGAATCATTGAAAGTGGTTTCTGTGCCAGTGCGGAGCCAGACGGAGGGGGAAGGAAGCGGTGAGAGGGAGGAACGGTAAACTGCGCGGAGGCGGGAATAGGCGGTTTTGCTGAGGACGGAGCCGCCGCCGCAGAGAGAGGAGGTTGGTGCTGTGCAGCCTCGGTCTTCTTCTGTGGGCTCTGATTCTCGCTGTCGCCAGCAGCATCTTCTGCTGAGACGCCAAAGAAGCCTTGCAGCATTTGCGTCTTTTGGAAGAGGCGCCTGCGCCTGGCCTCAAGAAGCTCCTCTCCCTCCTCCTTTTCGCGGCGTTCGCGCAGCATCTGCTCGCGTTCCAACTCTCGTTCGTAGAATTCCATGCTGCTCGACTAAAAGGGAGACAGAAAGTAGCAGCAACTGGACTGGCGAGAAGAGAAAATCCAGGAATGTGCTGGGTATCAAGCGAGGTTGCTAGAATAAGCGTCTTCTGAATAACGACGAAATGCCTGCATCCGAATATCCCGCCGTAAGAGTACAATCATTAATGTACATCAGGCGACGTAGTCCATGAAACGTCAATCAAAATTCGGAAGGATGACATCGGTTAGAAAGGATTTTATAGACGATATTATTATAATACTGATTATCATGCAGCATAATACGAAGGTATTTCTATCACGCCAGGGCAACGGCTTTCGAATGTACGTCTTTCCGGTTGCCTGCGAAAATTACATTCAACTTGACTTAAATTTTGACATTAGTTTTAAATGTCTCTATGAATCGAGGCCTGCCTTATGTGAAACATGCACAAAAATATCTGCTAATTTTTTGGTAAATTAAGTCTCCTATAAACTTTTTTGCTCGAAGAAGGGTGTCTTCTAATTTTAAGAGTCTCCCAATTCCCAACCACGTTTGAATCCAACCTGCGATAGCACTTGCGTTTACGACTTCCAAACTACAAGTTGTGCACTTTCCATTATACGAGAATCATACATTCCCCTATGCTATTGAGATGCCATGTAGGGCGCATGAAATTTTGTAGTGGGTGTGAGCCACATTGTGTACCCTACAAGGCACACTGAACAGTGGATAGACCATTTTGAAGGACTAAGACTACCTAAGTAGTCATTTTTGCGTGTGCTTTTTGTGAGCGACCGGAAGAAGGCGCATTAAAAAGCCAATATCCTGGAGCCTAGCCTTGAGATTACACTGTATGGCAATTCATAGTACAACCCCCACCCCCCTCCCCCTCCTAACCGAATCACATTTCAAAATGTCGGTCAACGTTTCATGAGGTACGTCACCTACTTTAGGAGGGATGCTGACATGTACGCGGTGGCCTTCTCTAGTCCCTTTGCCATCATCGGCCAATCGTACCTCATCCGCAGGTCAGAGGGACCCGATATTTGAACCCGACTCACTTGGTTGTTGAGCGATGGGTTCTACCGTTTACCCATGAACGCATGTCCGGACGGCTGCAAACAGTCATCGGAACGTGACGCTTTACTGGTCTAGTCGTAGGAAATCCCTTATCATGATAGCCTGCATACCCTACAAAATTTTATGAGCTCCACATAGTATCTTCTTAATGGTATTGAGGAATGTATGATAACTCTTGCGCTGTAAACCTTAAATGTAAACATAATGGTATATCGGGCTCAAAATTATTCGGAAATTTACTAGCTTAAAGCCTAAATATACCCTTCCCTTGAGTATATAGTGTAAAGAAAAGTGATCGCCTGTAAAATGAGTGCAAGAAAAATATTTTGATAAATGTGTTATATGAAGTGCATTTTAATTTATAAGGACAGAAAATCAGTAGAAAAATGCATACCACTTAAGTAGCCACTTTTATTGAATGGTTTTCGCAGGCCGCCGAGAAATACATTTGAAAGCCAACATCCTGGCGTGACAGAAATATCCCGGGATCGTGCTACACAATAATCAATACCGTAACCCGACTTAAGTAATCCTTCCTAAGCGAAAACGCACTCCAAAATTTCGGTGAACATTCCATGAGATCGCGCACTGACTGTGTGTGGCTGAGAACATTCTAGAGGGCGAACGGCCCAGATGTTATATTACACTCCTATAAGTACTGCAATCAGCATTAGGCGATCTCTTCTATTTACAGGTACATCTGGAGATAGCCGTTCAAGTTTCAGCCGAAACTGTGGTAACTCAGCGTAGCATTCAGCGAGTTTTGCATGAACCGACTAGGGGACAAAGACCGAATATTCTTGAATTAATGTCCCTGCTGTGAACAACTCGCTTCGTAGAGGAGTTAGTAGCATGGCGCTTCTATGACAGCGAATGGTGGTGAATGTAAACCGTTGCGGTAAACAAGGAAAGACCAGCAAATAAACACTATGCGCAGATC